GGTCTTAGTGGTTGTCTTAGCGACCAGGGAGGTTGAGTTTTGGCAAGGCATTGACAATTAAAGTTGTTGCTGGCAAGCATGACACTCATAGGGAAGTAAGGGGCTGAGAGTTGGTATGTAGGCCCATCAGTTCCCTCAAGTGTTTATGGTCTCGACAATGTCATCTGCCTCTTGACAGTGTTCAATAAACAGTTGCTGCTGACGGTCTCTCAGTTGTGTTTGTTGTTCCTACAGCTTCTATGTGAGGCAACTATCTTCGACAGTTGGTTGGGAAGTTTGAATGAAAAATTATATATTGTATGATGAATCAATTAGACTCTAATATGAATTGATGTAGGATAAAGAGATGTTGAATACAAGTTTATTAAGATCTAAAGTTGAAATCTCAAATCTCAAGAGTCAAATCAATAAATCAATATTGTATAATTATCATATAAATAGTATACTAAATAACAAAGCCAGGACATACAACTAATAGATACTAGAACGCAATCAAGATAAAAATTCTTAAGTCTATCTAGGAAATTTACTGAATAGGAAATTAAATAGAATAATTTATAATAGAAATAACTAAATAAGATCTTAAGTAAATAAGAAATAATAAACTCATATCATTAGTACTAACCTTAAATAAGCTAAACACCATAATACTACATAAGTATTACAATTACATAGAGATATTTTAGTATTGAAATATGTACACTTTCATTCTCTTTTTCAATCACTTACATGTTTTTATACATGCTTGTCTACTTTTAAATGTATCTTTTATGTGGGTGTGCCCTGACATGTTATTACTTGTGTAATCTTCACCAAGGTGCAATCTCTTTGATTAAAAAGTCCCAGACTTAGTTGTTCACCTTAATCCTTAAAATGTACGACGATGTATTACTTGAAGCCTGTTGATATTTAAATCAATGAACTGATGAGTTAAATTTATGTTTTGGTTCATTTTCAATCAGACAAGTTCAACGTATGTTTACTTTCATTTTCTTGGGGGGGCACTAGGAAGATGATTTAGTGGGCAATATATTTCAGAATAAAAACTGACAGGTAATAGTAGGAGCATGAAACAGTCTGGAACTAGCCCAGACCAGACTGAATCCATGTTACCCTTTGGGCCAAAGACTGGACCATGGGATTGGTCTAGTCCACAGATATGACCAATTTCTTTTTAACTTCAATTCCTTGTTAAAAAAATTAACCATAATAAAAATTTGACTTAATCAATCCAAGTCTTTTAATATTACCAAGAACCCAGAAAAACTCAGCTGACCATTTCTTGTGCTCTTAGCTTCATTACTAGAAAAAGATAATCATCAATCAAATATTAAGGAAGTTTTTCAATTTGAAAGTACAACCTCACAAATCAAGAAATTTATTATTATTATTTAGATTTGCAGTAAAAATAATATCATGTCAATTTGCACACATTAAATTAGGGGTGATTTTGGTTTTTAGTGTATGTGTGTGGTATATATATTAACTTTTTTTAACCCTTCCAATCTGGTCTGGGACCTCACTGGAATGGACTGGTCCTTTCAGTCCCTATTCTACAGGACTGAGGACTGAACCATAGGTAGTCCGGTCCGGCCGGACCAGGTTTTGCACACTCCTGGGTTGCAGGAAATACTTGAATGAACATGCAGTTAAACACTGCTGATAATTTTACATTTATATTTGTGTGGGAATTATGTTTTAAGTATTCTCCCTGAGAACTGACATTATGCTTATAGGAAAAATTGGCAAGAATCCTGTATCATCTTTTCTCCTCATTGGAGTTTGCGGCTTGGTCCTTCTGTTCATTTGCTTCGTCATTGGTGCCAAGATCCCAGATCATTACTTGTTCTTGAGGTTTTCTTTTTCCTTTTTCTTATTTACCTCTATTAACTAGGCTTTATGGTCTTTCTATGTTTCTACGTGTCATTAAGATCATTGTTCTTAGTGCACCTTCATTATATCTTAAGCTCATGCTAAAACTAGGTATCATTTACCTATTATATTTAATAATATATGTACTTCTTGCAGAATGGAGTAGATGCTAGTTTAGCTCTCTTGCCTTTCAAACCAATGGCAATGAAAGTTCTTCAATGTTCATTTCTCTCTGGAATAAGGTACAGATTATCTTTTTCTTTAGTGTTTATATGTTGATTTTTTGTATCTGAAAGTTGATGGGTATTCTGTATCTGGGTCATAATGATATGGTAAAAGCTAACAAGAACAAGGAGGAGGAAAGATGCCAAGATTTAAGCAGTAGATAAAAAATAAAAGGGGAGAAAATACTAGGATTTGAGGAAGAAGACAGACTAAGATTCCAAAATGATTCTATTAAAAAGTAGTTAATTCCACATAATTTCTAGATTAATAGCATGTCCTAACAAAATCAGGATACATGAAAAGGTTACACCTTGCAAATTCTTCAATTTCTAAGTTTCTTGGTTATCCACCTACCACACACGCAGGTTTATCCTTCCCCATTTGGAAGGTGAAATTTTTTTTCAGACTACAGTCCTGAATATGATCAACACTAATGTCCTAGATCTCTGTTTGATATGCTTATGGAGCTTTGAGTTAAGAGCTACTTGTTTCTTCCTTGTGATGTGGTGTGGCGGGTCTATAGATTGTTTTCTAAGTTTAGATAAGGTTGGCCCCTATTGGATATTTTTATCTTTCACTTTGTGTGGTTTTAGGAGGGTTAAGGATGCAAGCTGCTGCAGAGGGGGACAATTGTTACTGACTTGTGGGTCTCATGGTTGGAATAATCTGCTAGGATCTTTGAGCAACATTTTTAGCTGCATAACATGCTCTGGAATAAATTGGCATTCTTTCCTTGTCTTTGGGCAAAGGATTCACGCTTCTTTTGGAGGGCTCCTTTGTAGTTTGCTAAGGAATAAGATGACTATTTTTCTCCCGTTGTTTTTGTGATGTGTCCTAGTACTTTCCTGTTATGTTTAGGGATACTTATCCTCTTAATCTTGATATTAATAGTAGTTCTTTATATCTTAAACAAACAGAAATAAAAGTTTTAGTTTCCTAAATAAAATCACTTGCAAATCCCTACAAAAGAATAGAAACAATTTTCCTGGTTGATATAAAGACCCTTGTATTAGTGATTACTTCTTAGGCAAATCTGCACAGACAATTCATCTCAGGAATTTGACTTTGGTAGCACTTTATCAAGACCTTCCTATGCTTTTTGTAGGTTGCAAAAAGTCGAACCTTTGCTCAGGTTGCTGCAACCAAAGTTAGTTCTTGTAAGTCATCTTGTTAAATTTATAATTCCTTTTGTTTCCCTCCTTCCCATGCTAATTTGATATCTTGTTTGTTCATCCGAATAATGATTTGTTGCTTTTATTCTGTACAAGATAGTTCCCTGATAATTTTAGGCAGCTGATCAGTTTGTCAGATCTAAATTCAAACTCAGTTTCACATTATACTGAAAATGAAATGTTACGTGTACCAAGCTTCAAAGATTGTTCAGAAGTAGAGATTGCAATTGATTTGGCCTCAGAAATGCGCTGGAAAGAAATAAAAAAGAAGTCCATTAATGCCACAAGGTTGAAGGGAGAGCTCCTAATGCATGAAGGACAATGTAAATTATTCTCTGGGCTTGAGCCAACAAAGTCCAGGCAGTTATGGCCACTAGTGCTTTGGGGTTCACCAAACTTGGAAAGACTTCAGGCTGTATTATTGAAGATGGGCATTAGTGGAACGGTAGAACAAGTCATGGGTGATGATGAATCCAAAAATTCTGGTATCATATGTGTCCACAGTCCTAACCAGGCCTTAATAGAAGTTCAGGCAACATCTACTTTAATCAATGCTGCTAATGAGAATCTTGCCTCTCGTATTTTTGAGGCCATTTCTAGTATCTTGGATGGCATTTGAAAGGAAAGGGATCGGTGGTTTTTCTTTAACCATCTTAGGCTGCTTGGAGAGGTACATTTAAAATTGCTTTGCACCTGAAGTAAGATTCTCCTTCAGTCATGAAAGTCCTAATGAGTTTCTTCCTGCAATACCCATTGTACATGTACTGACAAGATGCTGGCAAATCAGTTGAAATTTGTTCTTTCCAGTCTATGATTATAATCAATATGCTTATCAGGCCAGTTAAAGAATCTCTGAAATAGTGCTGGTCCATGAGTTTTTTAGCAACTATAGCAGGGAAAGCACCTCTTCTTTGAGCCTATTGAAATTGATCAATGTGAAGGTATACAGTTCTTTTCATGGGGATGTTATGCTGGATATTAGTAAAGTTTTCTTTGTATATTTGTCAGTTAGATTGAGAGCCTGCATTGATTTCTTCTCGATTCTTAGGGTCTGGAAATGATTGCTTGAAAGCTTTTTTCTAAAGGAAGGAGGGAGAGAAGGAGGGTCTAAGCCACAGAGATCCTCCTCTATTAATGATGTGCAGATGAAGATTTACAGAAGGTGTTTCAGAAGAGCAGATTGCTTCAGAGTCTATTCAGCTGGCATGATTACTGGAATTCATATGTAGATGCAGAAGATTGCTTGGTTCTTTTGGAGAAGACCAGCTATGTGTGTTATTGATGGGTTAAAAGCTTATCATTTCTAGATGCAGTTTTTGTGGGAAATAGAAGCGATTGCTGCTTGAACCAAACTGCACTGCATGGGGTTCTTGATCCAATACAACATCTTGTCACCAAGAGAGTTGGAAATGGTTTGCATTCAGAGACCTTCTATACCAACGAGCTCCTTTCAACTGCTTGAGTTGGGGAGTGTTTTGAAGAATGCCTGTAAATATTTTTCTGGTTTCTGCAGTGGACTATAAGAAAGAACAGATGGTTGCTCAAGATTTTATGAAGCAGTGGTGCATAATATAGTATTTATTGCTTGGACTTGGTCTTCTTTCACATTATACGTAAACTGACCGACTCAGTTGTGTGCTTCAACTAATAATGCTATAAAGTAGGAAAAAAATGTCACTACTAAAATCTATATAAATTTTTATAACCTCGTATAGGCATTACTACAATTTGTACTTTGCACTCTAAACAAAGTATCAAAGAATATTTTTGATACTATTTTAACTTTGGATTTTGAATCTCTAGATTGAGTTACCAAACTTTTTAAAACAATCTTTTGAAAACAATGTCACTTGATGCCTTAAAAAGGAAAAATGAAAAATATTTTATGTAACAGGTCGGAACTTAAAAAAAAAAATTATAAATTGAATGTGGAAGTAAAATAATATAAATAGGGTTTACATTATTTACATAATAGTTTAAAATAGCAAATAGAGTTACGAGAACGTTCATTCTAAAAAAATAAATAAAAATAAAAAAAATAAACGAAAAGTAAACAACTAAGCATTCTACGACGATTTTACTAACTTTTGAAAGAGTTTGAGTGGTGAACTATTCACACTCTTTTATTGATCGGAATCTGAATCTTAATATTCTTGATCTGAAATAGTTAATGAAGAGGTGAGCAACACTAATTCAGTAAGAATATCACACTACTTACCGATACATAAACTGAAAATTGGTAAAAATAATAAAAACAATCAATGAAACTCTTAATTTAAGTAAATTTATTTATTATAAGTAAAACTATTTATTGCATACTTACCGTTGCGAGATTTTCAAAACCGACTTCTAGAGACAATAGCTCAATAACATCATAATCTCATATTCAAATAAGTAAGAATAACAACTTTTCTTTTTTATTTGCCTACTGGTATCCATGGGAGTCTATAGGCATGTCCCACTACGCATGAACCAACATCTAACTTTGTCAACTAACCGGTCGTCCCCATACCCCCCTCCGGTATTAGTGCTAAAAATACCATCCCTCAATACCTTGTCCGGCATGAGGGTGAAACGGTCTGTCCCCATACCCCGTACGGTATAAGCGCTAAAATACCAATTCTCGATACCCCATCCGGTATGAGACGACGTTTACGGTAGGGTTCCCTATGTACCCGGTCTGTCCACCAACTTTTAGGATATTCAGTAACACTACCATTCATTCGTTCACTTAATCAATCAATTTTATGTTTATATTTAATTTTCAGTTTTACAATTTAACCATAAATCAATGCAAGACAAACAATACATGCATCAAAGAAATATAACTGAATAATTTTACAAATTTCAGTACATTATCATGCATTTAAAGCTGTAAAATCAATCAATCAGTTAAACAAAATAACAATAATAAATAACCGATTTTATTTTCATTAGTAACCTGTAATTAATTTTCGAAATTTTTTAAATTATGCAAAATATCATATTATTAAAAATTAAATTTTGATTCTATAACAGGGAATAAAGTGATGGATTCTTACCCGAATCGGTGTCCAAAATACTGAACTTTCAACTGCGCTTACTAGCGGTCTCCGGGTTTCCTAAATTTTTCTATGAAGATTAAAACACGCTTCACGTATCTAAAAATACCCTAAAAAAAATCTAAAATCGGTGTTAAAACTCTTTTCCAATAAGTTTTAAAATTCCAGCACGGCGGCACTGCTGTGCTTTGGCAATGATACCGCTACTTGTGGTGGTGGTTTGGATTGGCCTTGCCATTTTCGGCCAGTTTTGACTGATTTCGGCCAGTTTTATACTCATCCATGTGAGAAAACACGTTAGGGGGTCTTGGTTAGCCCGAAAAAAATCGAAAAATAAAAACTTACCAGTGGTGGAATTTTTCGGTGCGGCGGCTCTGTCGACTCACTTCGCGACTGGACATTTTTCTTTGGTTAACCTATAGAAAACAAAATGGTGAACACAATGGTGGAAAAATCACACGAAACGGAAAACGGAAAAGAGCTCATCGGATGTGATTTTTGGTGTTTTTCGCAGCGGCGGCGCTGGGCTTCACCCATGATTTCCGGCTCATCTGCCATCCCTTTTGCTTTGATTTGACCATGAGGTGTTCAAAATCAAATTTCGAGCTAACAAAAGAAATTTCACTTTTTTTGGTGGTCGGAGGTGGCTCCGGCACGACGGCAGGCAACGATCGGCTCCCTTCTCCGGCGACTGGTTCTTCTTCTCCAGCGAGGGGCTTGTGGCTAGGGTTTGGGTTCAATGTGAAGTGAGATATTTATATCTGTCTCTCTTAAATCAGGATCGTTCATCGTGTTCGATCTCGATCGTCCGGTCGCGTTTAAAGAGGAAATGAATCTATACTGTTCATCACGATTTGATCTGGACCTACGATCGTATTTAAAGAGAGAATGAATCTGAACCGTTCATCATGTTTAATCATGACCGTTTGATCGTACCTGAGGAGGGAAGGGATCCGGACCGTCTAGGCATGCGGGAACGCATCCGGACTGTCCGATTGCGGGCACGTAGATTGCCAGTGTGGCTTCCCGCGTAGCACCGAATCAGCATGCTTTGCCACACGGTGCGTTCCGGTTCGTTGGGACTGCTAACTGGGTGGTCCTACGTGGTACAATTTTTCTTAATTGCTTTTGAACCTAGTTTTCGATTTTTGTTTCAAAAATACTTACAAAACCTAAATTTTTATCCCTTTTTCCTAAAATTATTTTTAACTTTATCATCTACCTATTTTTTTCCTAATTTTACAATAAATAAAAATTTAAAAATTTAAAAATTATATTTTTATATATTTAATTTAAAAATTTTAAAATTAATCCCGGGTCAAATTTCGGACCCGAGTATTACAATTCTCCCTCCTTTAAAAGAAATTTGATTCATCGAGTTTATCTTTCTCTCACTCAATCAAACAGTTAGAGATACTAGGCTCTGAAGTCTAATTCTAACTCCCATATGGGGCCTCTCTCTGTGTGTGATTTTGCTATAGGACCTTAATGAAGAAAATTTTTCGGTTGTGGAGTACTCTACTCTTTCGGTCTACAATACCCACCGGTACCTTCTCATAAGACAGATCTTCCTAGAGTGAAAGGGGCTCGTGGGCCTAAGACGTGAGAGGGGTCCAGGTTGTACTTACGTAGCATGGGCACATGAAACACATTATGGACTCTGAATAGTTCTAGAAGTAGTGCTAGTTTTTATGCGGCAGTACCAATTCTGTTTAAGATTTCAAAGGGTCCAATAAATCGGAGGGATTTAATTTCTCCATCTTACTAAATCTACTGATTCCCTTGAAAGGAGTGATCTTAAGGAACACTTGATCACCTTTCTCAAATTTCAAATCCCTCCCCTAAGTGTCCGCATAACTCTTCTGTCTGCTCTGAGCTGTCTAGATGTTCTTCCCGATCTTAACTATTTTGGCTGTAGTCTCCTCCATAAGATCTGGACCGAACAATTTTCTATAACCCACCTCTTCCCAACAGATCGATGATCTGCATGGGTGACTATATAAGGTATCGTACGGAGCCATGCTGATACTTATTTGGTAGCTATTATTGTAGGCAAACTTTATTAAGGGTATATGATCATCTTAATGGCCCCCTAAGTCGTGAACACAAACTCCGAGCATATCTTCAAGTGTGCGAATCGTCCTTTCTGACTGTCCATCGGTTTAATGGTGGAATGCGGTACTAAAGAACAATTTCGTTCTCATGACTTGCTAAAAACTATATTAAAATCGAGAAGTGAACCTGGGGTCCCTGTCAGACACTATTGTCACTAACACTCCATATAATCTGACTATCTTCCGGATATGCATTCTTGTCCAAGGGGTCGATCATTTTGATAGTCAAGAAGTGGGAAGACTTGTTGAGCTAGTCAACAATTACCCAAATGACATCATGGCCCGAGCTTGCCCTTGGCAATCCTATCACGAAATTCATTGTAATGTGTTCCCACTTCCACTATGGAATTGGTAATGGTGAAAATAGCTCACCTGAGCGTTGATGCTCTATCTTGACTTGCTGACATACCAAACACTTGGAAACAAAGTCGGACACTTCTCTTTTCATCCCGTTCTACCAAAATCGGGATCGCATACTTTGATACATCTTAGTACTTCTGGGATGCATAACAAACTTTGAGTTATGAACTTCTGTCATGTTGTCCATTTTCAGCTCACTATCACATGAAACACACACCCTGTCCTGAAATCTAAGCAATCGATCGACAGAGACTTGAAATTCTGAATTTACTCCATGTTCTGCATCTTTCTTGAGGGCTACTAGGATGGAATTGGCTGATTGAGCTTCTTTTATTCTCTAAATCAACTCAGGTTGAACAATCAGATGGGGCAAGCATGTAACTCTCTTCAGATTCTGAAGTCGTACCTATTGTGTGGTTCATATTATCCTGCATTCTAAAACCATCAGGTAAATTAATATACCTACATTTTTTCTGTTGAGTGCGTCGGCTACGACATTGCCCTTACCCGGATGATACAAGATATTGCAATCGTAGTCCTTGAGGAGTTTTATCCATCTTTTCTGACGCATGTTGAAATCCTTTTGAGTAAATATGTGTTTCAAGCTCTTATGGTCGGTATATATATGAAAAGTCTCCCCAAACAAATAATGGTACCAAGGCTTCAAGGCGTGAATAATCGCGGTAAGTTCTAAATCATGGGTATAGTATTTTTTCTCTTGACTCTTCAACTGCCTGTACTCAGAGGCTATGACATTCTCATGCTGCATCAGAACATAACCCAACCTTAGGTAGAAGGCATCACTATAAACTGTATATCCACATGTCCCGCTCAGTAAGGCCAACACAGGTGCAATAATTAACCACTTCTTTAGTTCTTGAAAACTCCTTTCACAGTCCTCGTTCCACTCAAATTTGACGTTCTTCTTTGTGAGCCGAGTCAAATGAGCAGTTAGGTTAGAAAATTCTTCTATAAATCTGCGGTAATAACCTGTCATCCTAAGAAAGTTACGAATCTCCTTAATCGATGCTAATTTTTTCTAGCCAAGCACTGCCTCAATTTTTCAGAATTCACT